GAGAGAGAGAGAGAGAGAGAGAGAGAGAGAGAGAGATGGGGGGAGGGGGGAGGAAGGATATACTATCCTGCGTCCCCCATCTCGACAACAGCTTCAAATGGAGTCCACAACACCTTACAGGCCACGACAGCCCACGGACCACAGATCACCACATGTAACGGGCCACCACAGCTCACCACGGCCCCCGGACCACCACGCCTTCCACCACCACTGACCATCGCACGTCACGGGCCATGCAGCCCCCGGACCACCATAGCTTACTGTTCAGTTTTTTGGGGGGGGCGGGAGAGAGAGAGAGAGAGAGAGAGGGCGATACGCAACAGCGCACACAGCGGAGTACAACTTCTTCGCGTACGACAGCGCGCTGCACGACGGGCGAAGCTTCGAATGACAAACAACAATGAAACGGACAAATGCACGTACAAAGGCACGTACGACAACAACAAGGCGAACAGTAAACAAAACCCTACCGGTAGGTACTGCGCCAAGAGACCGTTCCGGTAGATACAACGGCCCCCTCCAAGGCAAATGATCTGGGCCGTCCCAGCCCGAGGTACCGGGCCAACGGCCTGGATTGACATGCGATCTTAAGATCTTAAGACCGCGCATCAATCCGGCCCGTCGGTCCCGCAGGATCCCACGGCCGGGATTTCAGATTTATTGCATGTTTCCGACGATCCAGGCTGTGGGCCGGTAGGACCGACGACGGCCTGGAGCAGAGATTGGTTCCCTAAACCGATCACTGCCATGGTGTGCAACATCTATTTCACTGCAATGGATTCCCCACACTGCCCGCAACATTCACTTGAGAAGGTGGTTTATTTCCTGGGCAGGTCTCGCAATGGATAGCATACAGCTACTCTGTAGGTGGCAGCATTTTTTGTTTTTCAAGGTCAAGAAGTACAGAGGACAAGGACAGCACAACGGAGCAGAAGGATTCGAAGCACATCACTTCTCAGTAGGCAGTCACCCGGGGGGCAGGGGGCCGGTTAGAAAGAGCAGCAGCAGAAGAAGCAGCAGCAGGAGGATTAAGAACAAGCAGGAGGTTGGGAAGGCGGCTCCAGATATTCAGGAGCAGGAGCAGGAGGTGGAGAAGATACAGAAGCATGTTCAATCTCTCTCTCTCTCTCTCTCTCTCTCTCTCTCTCTCTCTCTCTCTCTCTCTCTCTCTCTCTCTCTCTCTGTCTCTCCGTCTGTCTCTGTCTCTCTGTCTCTGTCTCTCTCTGTCTCTGTCTCTCTCT